ACACACACACACACACACACACACACACACACACACACACACACACAGAGACACACACACACACACACACACACACACACACAGCCCCACCCTCCCACCTACTCAGAGTTTTGTACATGGAGTCTCTGCAGACATGGTCCATCTGACAGTTCCAGATGAAGTGAAAGATAGCTTGAGTGGCTGAAACAGCATAGTTTTGGGAGATGGACTGAACCTGCACCACATACATCAACAGAGAGAGTGCCTCACACCTGATGACCAGGTTTTTACCCACAACAGAGAGGGAGTATTGCTCCCAAAAGACCAGTTTCTGCTTTCCTTTGGCGATGCGCTCCTCGACCAGGATCTGTGTCCCACATAGTTGGAAACTGCTTGCATTTCACATTCAGGCTACAATGATTAGAGATGTCTTCAACCTGTACTGTGTCAGTGCCTGATGAATGCAATTGCCCCTTGGAGGACCTCACAATGCCCACAAGTAGAGCTCGCCTGCTCAGACAGAAAATAAACACCTACACAGCCAACTCCAGGCGTGGTCACAGGCATTTTCAATTTCTATTGCACACTTGCGATGCAGATTAGTATGGCAAACAACACAATAGGAGGAGGTGACAGCCTAGTAGTATCACTGGACTGTTATTCCAGATAACCAGATAAGGTTTTGGGCATTCAGGTTCAAATTCAATAAAAATCTGGAATGAAGAGTCGAATGATGATCATGAATCCATTGTCGATTGTCAGGAAAATCCCATCTAATTCACTAATGTCCTTTAGGGAAGGAAATCTGCCATCCTTACCCAGATTGGTCTACATGTGACTCCAGACCCAAAGCAATGTGATTGACTCATAACTGCCCTCTGGGCATTTAGGGATAGGCAATAAACATTGACCTAGCCAGTGATGACCTCACTCTATGAATGAACAAAAAAAAGTTCAAGCTTGGCAGAGTGAATAATGGGCTTAGCCTGACATTCAAGGCCCTCGCGACCCCTCCTTACATTCCCTGTCAAGTCAACCAGTGCTGAGCTTCCACTGCACATTCCCACCTAACTCTTCAATATCAATCTTCATCACTGAAAACTATCTTCTCACCTTTAGCCCTACAGTTTAGCCATTCAAGCAATCCAGCTGCACTGCCCCCTGTTGAAATCTGCGTGTTGTGACTGTCGATGACCCAATCAATGATATAGTTGCCCATGTCATCTAATCTAATTATCTCCCATCATGTCTCCCATATATGTTTGGTTTGTCCCCTGCACGCCCCTTCCAGCTGTCCTCTCTGCATTCCCAGTGTACTGCATCCAATCCCCACAACTGACTTCCTACCTTCCCGACCATAACTATGGTCCCTGATAACCCGCCTATCCCCCACTCCCCCACCCGCCATGTACATGGAACAAACCTCCAGGACTGACCATGTCCTCCTGATTTGAATGGACAGCCCTGTTCAGGATCGTTAGATAAAGGAACAGAATTAAGCTATTCAGTCCATCAAGTCAATCATGGCTGATAGGTTTCGCAAAGCCCATTCTCCTGCCTTCTCATCGTAATCCTTGATCTCCTTACTAATCAAGAATCTGTCTATCCCTGTCTTAAATACATTCAATGATTTGGCCTCAACAGCTTTCCGCAGCAATGAGTTCCACAGACTCAATACCCTCTGGCTGAGGAAAATCCTCCTTATCTCAGTTCTAAAGGGTCATCCCTTCACTCTGAGGCGCTGTCCTCAGGTCCTAGTCTCTTGAACTAGTGAAAACATCTTCTCCATGAC